GAATTTCCTTCAATCTTTTAACTCCCATCATTTTTTTGTTTGGTCAACTCATCCTACAATATTACATTACTATATAAGAAAGATGAACAGTTGAGGTAGTATAAAATAAATGCAATCAGTACACACAAATATCTTACAATTCTCACAGCTTGTTCCGTAATTGTCTTGTTATCATATTCCCCATTTTTATTTTGACGAGCCTTTTTCCATAGAATGCTTCTGTCCAAATCTTTAGTAGATCCGGTCATACGTTTCTATCAGTCAAACATACATCAATTTTTCAAAATAATCATATCAAAATTGATATTAAATTATAAAATTTATAACCACTTACATAGTCTTCTTGAAAGCGAGCATAGCTCTTTCGACTGATTCTATGGTTATACTTATTTTGACTTCGTCTCCATTTCTGAACCTAACTCAAAATCTTTAAAAATGTAACACACAAAGTTAATCCAAATGTATGGCATTTAATATTTTTTTTGTGTGAATAAGTCATAAAATAAAACAGAAAATTTACAAGATTACAAAGGGCATGCCACTGTTATTACAGAACTATACAAAGTTTGATGAGTCTAGCATTTAATACTGACCTTTTAAATAACTAAAGTTTGATTATTTTTACCTCAAACTCTTTTGATAGTTGCCCTTCAAGAAATGAGTCCCAATGTCTTTGTTCAACGAATCCATAAATTGCTGGTGGGTTTGATATGATCTCAAGATTGGACTTGTTTTCACGTATGTACTTGGTAAGTTCTTTCTTGAATGTCCTCCATTTTGAACAAATTGAAGATAACACTTTTTTTTTACTTCTTTCATCCACTTTGTATGTTTACTGAGTAATGAAAAAATATAATGTTATAAAATTCAAATTTTGATTGCACTTAAATACAAGTTTAAGTGTCTTACTTACCTCCACACAACTCCATAATTTTTCTTTCAGTTCAACTGGCACCTCAAACCAGTCTTTATAGCATATTGGAACTATTGTGCAAGCCAACACCCCATGATAGCTTGAACATTTGATTGAATTCTTTCCAATCAATTGACCATTCTCGTTATAGTCAATGGCTTTTCGTACACCAGAACTCCTATCCTTTCTGACATCTGGTAATGTTATCGAACCTCTGCTTTTTCTTTTATTAGATTTTGGTTCTGGTGCTGGTAACCATGCATCCTCTCCATCAGTAGGCAGGACATGAGAAGTATTGTCACGACCCAAACCCGCCCCTATGGGTTTAGCATCGTAATCGGCCAGTAATCTTGGGATTACCAAAGGCCTCTTGACAAATTAACATATAGTTAGGGGCTGCGGAAGAAAATATACAAAATATACAAGGTCCAATGAACTGTGATGACATACATGGGACAGAATAGTTCAAAACTTTCATAGACTTTCGGGTGACGTCAAAGGATATAATATTTACATATCACATATAGGTGTACATGATAAAAATCTCACCTACAACTTAACAAACAACATAGTCTACTATGATTACAAAAACAACCACAAAACTTGACTTCATCCGGAACCTCCTCGGGAGACGCAAAGGTTGGCTGACAAAAACTGAAACTTAGGCCGTCAACCCTAGGCCTGATCACGTGCCTGCTCACCTACATACATAATATAAATAGTGAGCTGAAGCCCAGTGAATAATAACAAAGTAAGGGGGTTTAATGAATGTTGTCCATAACAGTTATAGAAAACATAATTCAATAGTTATCAGAAATGGATTCATATTCATGTTCAAAAATCATAATTCATAGTAGACACAGATTCAGAATCATATTCATAATCAAAAAGTTACAGTTAATCATATGTGGTACATTTATTAGCACTAGCAGAAACAGTTGACCCATGAAGGAACGGCCATAAAGGCATACAGTTAACTCACGTGCACGGAGACGGTACAGTTAGCTCATGAGACGTACAGTTGGCCCATAAAGGGACGTATACATAAGGATCCATAACAGTTGGCTCATGAGACGTACAGTTGGCCGCCCATAATTGGGACGTAACAAAACAGATAACAGATGTCATTTGAAGCTAAGAATGCCACGAATATATTTTAAAACATTGGACAACTATTCATTCATACAGAAACTAATTTTTTTCAGAAACATATCATCTTATATCATTCAGAAAGTAATTATAATTGAACATAGCTTTGCAAAGTTATTACTCATAGTTGGCTTCGGGTGCAGACAAACAGAGTAGATTAATCAAACGGTTTATGGCACGCGACCTACACGAACACATAACAAATACACACTTGAACACACGTTCAAATTATACATAACTTACCTAATTTGTTCTTAGCGTGTTTCTAGCCTTTAACCTCATCATGGAGTCTTAATCATGGCCTAGGAATGCCTAGGATGGAATGATGATGCCAAAAATGCACTTGAAAACATTTTTCAAAACTTGCTGAAAATAGGGTCCACACTCGAGTGGACATGCAAAATGTAAAGGTTCACTCGAGCGTGACTTTCCTCACTTGAGCGAATTGTAAACTTTGGAAAAGTACTGGTTGCATGTTTTTCATACTCAACGGACGCTCGATCCCCGCTCGAGCGTGAGACTCAGGCCCTCGCTCGAGCATGGATTACCTCGCTCGAGCGGACTGTAAAACATATGAACTTCTAGATACATACATTTCACGCTCGAGGGGGTATCATGTCCCTCGAGCGGAAGTGCATGCATTCGGAGTGCTTGCTCGAGCATGAACTTCTACGCTCGAGCGTGGATTCAAATTCTGGAATTTCCAGATTTGATTCCCAAGCTTCAAACTCAAACCAAACACTTCAAAACTCAACATTTTGGGCCAAAACTTTAGGAAACTCATAGAAACTCATAAAACAACATGTTTTAAGGATCATTTCAAGAAATAATGGCCCAAAGACATGCCAATTGCACAAAATTTCAACTCAAGATTTATGTATGATCCATAAACAAGGCATGCATGCACTTCTTTGAACTTAAGCTCCTCAAAACATGATCAAATGCTACAAAACAACATGAAACTCAATGATTTCCCAAAATTAAGGTGAATTCAAGACATGCATGGGAGCATTCTTTGAAAACACTTTCAAAACTTCATGAAATGCACATGCAAACATAAATTTATTCAAAATTCCAATCTTTAGCTCAATTCTCATGACAATCCACCTATCTCACTTGATCTCATGCATTAATCAACTAAATTATAAAACTAGAGGCTAAAATTTCTTACCTAAGATTCTCAATTCCTTATAGTTTAGAGATATTCTTGAGCAATCCTCCAAGTCCCCTAGCGATTCTTCCAAACTTCAAGCTTGATCTCAACTCTCACTCTCTACCTCTCTCTCTCTCACACACGTTTTTCTTTTAGAGGCTCAAAGATGGTAAGAAAACAAAAGGCTCAAATGAGGTGTATAAGCCTTATGTAGGCTTAAATGGAAGTATAATTAAATAAGGCCAAATAAATGGACATTAAATTAAATTAATCTAATTTAATTGTTCCGAATTGGATTCCAATTAAACCTACCATAAAATTCTAAAAATTTAAATTAACACATAAATCAAGCCAATTTCTGAATCAGATGTCGATAAGCCCTTCAATTCGCAAACCGAAACTAAAACATGGACAGATCTTTCTGCGCTAAACAAATATAAACACAGATAATGCAATACACACATGCGAATTAATTCAGAATTCCTCCTTAGTCACTGTTAGACATAATTAATCATAGGTCGGGGTTGTTACAAGTATCCATCATGTGAATAAAATAAAAAGAAATTTAAGAAAAAAGGTCAAATAGTTAGACAATTAAATATAAAGACATGAAGAAAATGAATATAAATCAAACATTATAACATGAAAATACAACACTTAGACATATATTCTTACAAATACATTTTTTTTTCATCATGGATTATCGAGCCAAGTTCCCTCACAATCTCCTCGTACGTAAGATGACAAAGAATCATCAACCATATCTAATGATTTAACTTCTGGCAAAACTTTTGTAAAGCCATGATACTCTATACAAAAATCATTGAACTCATCATCCTTTTCACAAGAATATTGTTTTTGAGGAGGTTCTAGCACAACTGACCATCTCAGATCAAGTTGATCTTGTACATAAAAAAACTTGCTTAGCTTGGGAAGGCAAAATGAAGGTATCGTCTTTATAGCCTACCCTCCTTAACTTAACTAATGTGAAACCCAACTCAGCCACTCTAATTCCCATTTTGTTGTCAATCTAATCACACTTAAATACCGGAATCTTGAACATATTGTAGTTAAGTTGCCATATCTGTAAACATTGGGTTCTTATCTTTGTAACCTGTTACTTGCATTGTTGTTACCACTAAATTAACTCCACTGTTTTGGCTGACTCGTGAGTTATCCCAATCTTTTGTGTGATAACAGCAACCATTGATGATATAGCTGAGGAATTTTATAACATCCAATCGAGGTCCTTGTGCTATCCACTTCAAGTTATTTGAGATATTATTTTGGCCACTTAATTCCTTTGAGACATGTATATAGCTCAATAGTTAGCTAATTTTTCTTAATAATATTCGGTATTAGAAAAAGATAAATGTAGAATTACCCTAATATCTTTTCACGAAGTCAATTCATAAATGTTTTATTATGCTCAATTTGTAGCCATTTTTGACTTTGTGATTGACGATGATATTTTAGCTTCAACCAAGCCATATGCTCCCTATCAAATCATGAATAAAGAAATATATTATGAGATAAATCTCTAGAATACAATTGTAAAAAAACGTACATGAAATATTCTTACTCAATGTATAGTTGAATGTCACTTGTATTTTCTAACACATAACAATGTGCTTGCTCCCATTTATTACGATCACCAGTAACAATATAAGCACTTGATAAAGGCCTTTCAATTTCTATATCATCATCAACTGTCATGTTCCTATTAGAAGGAATCCCGATTGCATCCACTCCAGATAAATACTCTGCGCAAAACTCAATAGCTTCTTATACAATATAACTTTCAGCAGTGCAACCTTCAGGACAATTACGATTACAAACATAACCCTTTAAGATCTTCATGAACCTCTCAAATTGGTACATCCATCTAAAGTAAACTGGTTCACAAAATCGAACTTCTCTAACAAGATGCACTGTCAAATGCACCATGATATCAAAGAACGAAGGTGGCAAGTACTTTTCAAGCAAACATAATGTGACCACAAGATCTTTTTGAATCTCATCTAATTTTCCCACATCCACTACTTTGCTACAAATAGCATTGAAAAAGAGACATAACCTAATAATGGCATGTCTCACATGCGTAGGTAACACAAATCGTATTGCCATAAGTAGTAACTGTTGCATCAATCCATGACAATAATGTGATTTTAGACCATAAAGTTTCAAATCTTGCATTGATACATGACTTCCAAAATTTGAAAAGTATCCTTCTGGAACCTTCAATTCCAATAATGTTGTACATACTCTTTTTTTCTTCTCTTCAAACAATGTGTAACATGCTGGAGGCAAGTATGTTCGCTTCTCCCCAATTTGTGGTACCAATTCTTCATGCAAACCCATTTCTACAAGATCAATGTGAGAATTAATTCCATCCTTTGTTTTTCCTGGAATATTAAGTAACATACCAATGAGGCTCTCACACACATTCTTCTTAATAGGCATAACATCCAAATTATGTCGAACATGTAAGTACTTCCAATATTCAAGATCAAAGAATAATGATTTCTTCTTCTAACATTTTGTACCACCAACAGCTAATGCTTTTTTATTTTCTTTCCCCATATGGTTACAAGCCCTTTAACCTTATTTAATATCTCCTCCCTGGTTAATTGTATTGGAGCTAATCCAAACTCGTGCTCACCATTAAAAGCATTTTTTTGCCTCCGACATGGATGGTTGCGTGGAAGAAATTTTTTGTGGCAAGCATATATGTTCTTCTTATCATATTTTACTCTGTGAGAACATGTTCCTTCACTACAAATTCGACATACATAATATCCCTTCATAGTACAACCGCTCAAATTGCCTAATGCTAGAAAATCGTTAATTGTCCACAACAATATAGCCTTCAGCCTGAAGTGTTCTTCTTTATAAGTGTCATAAGCTTCAACACCTACCTCCCACAACATTTTCAAACCATCAATTAATGGTGCCATGTAAACATCAATGCTATTACCAGGTTGTTGTGGGCCTGATATTAATAATGATAACATCATAAATTTCCTCTTCATACATAACCACGGTGAAAGATTAGAGGTAATCATTATAACTGGCCAACAACTATACCTACTGCTAAGGGAACTGTGTGGATTTATTCCATCTGCAGAAATAGCTAAACGAAGGTTTCTTGGTTCTGCGGCGAAATCTGGCCACTTATGGTCTACTAACTTCCATGATGGAAAATCTGCAGGGTGACACATTGTGCCATTAGAATCTCTTTCATGAGCATGCCATGTCAAATCCTTCGTTATTTTTGCTGATTGGAACATCCTTCGAAACCTTGTGATAGGTGGAAAATACCATAAAACTTTTGCAGGCACATCCTTTCTTATTTCAGCGGAATTCTTCTTCAACTTCCATCTTGATGTACCACATGTAGGATATGAAGTTGCATCTTTGTACTCCTTTCAATAGAGTATGCAATCATATGGACATGCATGTATTTTCTCAGACCTCATTCCCAATACAACAAACTTCTTCCCAGCCTCATACATGGATGATGGTATTTCATTGTTCATTGGCAGCATATCACCCAACAACGTCAGTAAATCTGAAAACCCAGCGTGAAATAGGCTATTTGTAGTTTTGAAGTTATACAGTTTAATCAATGCAGATAACTTGGTAAACTTTGTGCAACCCGGATACAATGGTTTTTCCACATCTTCAAGTAATTTCTTAAACACTTCAGGATCAGCCGTGTAATGATCGTATGCATCTTAAACCATTTCTATTGTTTTAGCTACATTGTCTATGGGAGACGTGTCAAATTGTTGTTGGGAAAAATCTTGTTCATTTAAACATAGTGATGCCCCACTGGTGAGTGCTTCTCCATGCCATATCCATGTGGTATAACTTTGGTCAATACCATTGAAAAAAAGATGATTTCTAATCTCTCGAATATGTTGGCTTCTTAAGTTTCCACAGACTCTACAAGGACAATGTATGGATTGAAGATCAGTTGCATGTATTATAGCAAAATTAAGAAATTGTTCAACTTCATTCTCATAGTCTTTTGATCTTCTATCCTTGAACATCCAATATTTGTCCGTTTTAAATGTATTTTTGAATACCTATATCAACAAAGAAATTAGGATATAAAAATAATAATAAACTAGAGGCTACACAATTGATAACCTCAAAGGAATGTCATTGAGAAGGCATAATTTATTTGATAGAACATTAAATGCCTTAAGCAAACTTGCAAAAAATAAATAAATAAATAAATAAATCTTATAACAAATAATTTATCTGATCTATGAATAATTGCAAAGTCAAAAAAAGAAAAAAAAAATAATTCTACAAAGTCTAAACAATCTAGGAATTCATTATTCAATACTATCATTCATATTGAATGTTTCATATCCAAGAGGATAGGTGCATGCTTTACACACTGCTAGGAAATGCCCCAGGGCTCAAAGTGGTCTGCCTAACTCACTTAGGTGGTTTGCCTCCCAAAAGAGGTAGCAACAGGCAGTAGCAGTAGCAGCAAAAACCGCTCTGCAGCAGCAACAACAACAACAACAAAACAGCTCAGCAGTAACAGCAGCAGCAGTGTAAAAGCATTAATAAATCAAAACAAATCCTTATTTGAAGTGCATTACTATCCATTTATGTTGGAATTTAGTGTAATTTTTCCTTATCTAAAACTTAAATGTATTAGTAGATAGGAAAATCCATATGGTGTTTGGAATTTTTTTTATAACTTTCTCCTTAATGGTGAACATACTTTAAAGGGGCTGTAATTTAAATGAATTTTTAGGAGTACTTATATAATTTTGTGGTGTATTTAGAGGCTTGTAGATGAATCATTCAAGTAACATATGTAAGACATGGACTAGGCTGCAGTTGATATTGCTTTGTTTTGAGCTTGTGGCCTAGGCTGCAACCACTATGGCTTGGGTTGCAGCCTGGTGTTTTGTTGAAGTTGAGTTTGCAACCTGGTCAGTGGCTGGAACTTGGCCTGCACTTGGTGCTCTTACTTAGACTTGTTTTGTAACAAATGGAGCTGGCTTATCCCAAGTTCATAGTGCTATAAAGTGTGAAATTAAACCCTGATAGACTTGTTTGGCTCCCCAGGCAAAATGGTATATTCAGCATTGGTTCTGCTTGGGAGCAGTGGAGGGTTAAAAGTCCTAAAGTGGGTTGGGTTGGTCTTATTTGGGGCTCTTACTCAATGCTTAAGGCTAGTTTTGTGGTTTGGTTGGCTATTCTTGGTCATCTTAATACTGGAGATAAGGTGGCTACTTTTGGTATAACAAGTGCAACAAATTGTCCATTATGTGGCATTGTGGGGGAGGATCATAATCACATATTCTCTAAGTGCTCCTATTCATTTGTCGTTTGGAAAGCCCTGAAAACCAAATATAAGGTGGACTGGCATGGGTCTGCTTGGACTGAAATTGTTATGACTGTGGATAATTAATGTAAAGGCAAGACCTTGACTACTATTATTAGGAAGTTGAGTTTCTGTTGTATTGTTTACCATATATAACTAGAAAGAAACAAGAGAATTTTCAGCAATGAAAAGAAACCTGAAGAGGTTGTGATCCAGAACATTATTAATATGATCAGATTTAGAGCTATGGCTCTATCATATGTGAAAAAAACCCAATAATGATGAGTGGTTTCTTAGCTCCTGGAGACTTCCTAGAACAATCCTCAACCATTGAGGTTGTCTATTTTGTTTGTGGGTTGAGTGGTGGTGAGCATATATTGAGTGAGCCTGTTATTGAAAGAGTGAGTTGTGAGATTTATACGCTATGGGTTGAGCGCTGAGAGCATATATGGAGTGAAATTACATTAATTTTGTGTGTTATTTTACAGGTGCAGCTGGATTTGAGGATTGTGAGGATTACTAAAATGTGGGTTGAGTGGTATGAGACCATATATCTGTGGGTTTATACTAATTTTATCTTTTGGCTATCTATGTGTATCTTCTATTGCAGGTACAAGAGGGAGCATTGTGAGTTTGAGTGTTATGTGGTTCGTAAAAGTGGGTTGAGTGTAGTGAGACCAAAATTGTGTGTAGATTCCCCAAGTCCTGCTTTTCTTGATGAGTATGAGGCATATTTGTGGGTTAAGTGACGTAGGAATTTATTGTGTAGTGAGATTTGGTTATGCAGGTTTTGTATAATTTGGATATGATGCCTACTTATGTGGAGTGTCATACTCAAGTTTGCTAAAATTAATAGTGATAGAGGGGAGGCTGCAGACATGAAGACCAGGCTGCATGTTGCGCCAGTCAAGTGCCCTCTCTCTCATGGGATATTGTTGTATTTCTTTATGTAGAATGGAGTTATTTACTGATCCTGTGTTGGTACCTCAAATATGGAACTAGTTAGGCTAAACTCTGGTGGTCTGTCTATACATTCTGTTGGAGTATGATGTGATCTGCTCGGTAAATCTATCCAGGTGTCGTGTCTGCCTGCTGTTACTGTCTATAAATTCTGGTTTGTGTTGTGTTTGCTTTAGTTTAGCTGCTATGAATAGTTGCCCAGGTGCTATGTGTGAGTGTGTCTTTGCCTTGTTGCTGTTGATTTTGCCTTGCTGCTGCTAGCTCTGTTTTGCTGCCGAGTGTTTTAATGGTTATGGAAATTGTGATGTCAAGTACACATAAAACTCTATAGTGCAACTCATAAACTAATAATGGGGCCTTTAGTTATTATTTAACTCAATAGTCTATAGTTGCTATCCTGACTTGTAGAAACGCTAATAAATTTGAAGTCTCCAATGTATTTTTTCCACCATGAGATCTATATATAGCTAAAACTTGAAATATGCTTCATATCAAGCACCATGATACACTGTCTACATAAATAGATTGGCTAGAGAGAGAATGAAAACCTTCAAATTAGGAGCATTTCTTCTTATATTGATCACACTTCTTGTGACATATTTCTTCTTTAACTCTTTGATTTTGCTTCCATGTTCTCAACTCAAAGTTCTGTGGCTGCTATCAAAAGGTGGGCTGAAGACCAACATGGATCTAATTTGCTTGTGTCTAAGCTATTATGGTTTAACGTTGCCCCTCCCAAAACCCAGTTTTTTGGCTAGTTCGCTTGGTAAAGCCTGCCCCTTTTTGTAAAAGTGAAGTTGAATCTAGCAACCATGTTCTGTTACAGTGCTCCAAAGTATGGAAGATATGGTCTAAGCTACTAAATTAGTGGGGTTTTCAATGGGCAACTTGCAACACAACAGCAGCAAAAACAATTCTGCAGCAGTAACAAAGTAGCAACAGCAACTAAGTGCAGCAGCAGCAGCAGCAGCAACAAAAGCACTAAATTGGTGGAGATGCATTCGAGGATGTTTACAAGCAGGCATGCCTTGAGAGCGAGGCAGGACCGGAGGAGTGAGAGGAAGAGAGCGGTTGAGGCATTCAAGTTCTGGTTAGGATTGCCTAATTCTTATTATGGAAGCGAGTGACGGCTTGAACCTGGAGAGGATTATGCTTTTGATTCTGTATAGTCATCAGTGGAAGGAAGATTGTCTATCTACTACCTCTCTCAGACTCCATTGTAAGCAGCAGACTTATGCACTAGGTACGACCCATTTTCTAAAAGCAAAAGTGTATTTCAACCTTGTGAAGCTTGAAATTCAAATGTAATTTATCATTTGATTAATGTGATATATGAAATAGATTCCTAAGCAATCCAGTATTTAGGTTCAGGAAGAGGGATATTTGTCTTATTGAAATTGCATTGAAAATTGGATTTAAAATATAAGCATGTCTAGTACTGTACTAACAATGCTAGGGTTGTCTAATCTGCAAGTAGATACATTATATTACAATCCCAAGATATGTAACATTACAACATATATAGACATTATATCCACATGTTGTCCATCGACTACACCTCTGGGACTGAACTTAGGCCCTAGCTCACAGAAAAATTGATGAAATAGAAGAGATCCGAGTGAATAGAAAGAAACAAATGATGAATTCCAATTTCATTGGAGAAAGGAATGTTATAAAAACAACACCATCTATTAAGCTTGTTATCTAGATGGGAAGAGAAAAGCCAATTATGAGAGAAATTGAGAAGAATAAGAATTTCAATAAGAGAAGAAAATATAATAAAAGAAAAAAACTTGATAGGGGTGCTTTCTCTTGGAGATATTGTCTAATTTCGGCTCAAAAGAGAATATTAAACAACCATATCACTATGGAGATTAAGGAAAATACCAAGCAAGTCAAAAGGAATGAAATGAAACATATGGATAAATTAAAGGAAAACACAAAAGAGTTCCCAACTTCAGGCCAATTTCATATTGTAAATTTTTTGAATTCCTCAAATGTGGCCTTTTCAGCTTTGAATATTAGCAGCTGATTGACAATTCTTGAAAATAAGCAACATTTCTAGGTACACAGAGTTCAACTATAGAAAAATATCAGTTCTAAACACTCTGTTCGTATTTTATTTTTATTTTTTTCTTATGAAAAAGTGGAGAAATTTGTGAGAGAATTTTTTTTGGGAGGAAGGGGGGGAATTTATTTTTTAGTAACTTATAAGGAAAAATTCATACCAAA